CCAAAACCCCAAAACCCCAAAACCCCAAAACCCCAAAACCCCAAAACCCCAAAACCCCACATAACAGATTATTATTATAACACGATATTATTATTTAATAAGCCTTACCTAAAAATCCAATATGGGAAGAGGTCCAAAGAAACACTTGAAGAGAGTAAATGCTCCATCTCACTGGATGCTTGATAAAATGTCTGGAATTTATGCTCCAAAGCCAAGTCCAGGTCCACACAAAGCAAGAGATTGCATTCCATTATCAATCATCTTGAGAAATAGACTTAGGTATTGCATGAGCGGAGTCGAAGTTAAGAAAGTTGTTCTTGACAAGAGTGGAAACATCAAGATTGATAATAAAATAAGGAGAGACACTAAGTTCCCATGCGGTGTTATGGATGTCATCACCATTGAGAAGACTGGAGAATTTTTCAGAATCCTTATTGATGTTAAGGGAAGATTCCAACCCCACAAAATTGATGCCAAGGAAGCCACCTTCAAGCTCTGTAAAATTGTGAAGAAAGCCATCGGTAAAAACAGAGTCCCATACTGCGTCACTAATGATGGAAGAACTTTGAGATATCAACACCCAGACATCAAGATTAATGACACCATCAAGTTGAGTCTTGAGAGCAATGAAGTTCTTGATCATTACGCCTACGAACAAGGAAACGTAGCTATCGTTGTTGGAGGATCTAACAAGGGAAGAGTTGGAACCATCCACCGTATCGAGAAGCATGATGCCTCTTTCAATATTGTCCATTTGGCAGATGCTAAGGGAGCAAAATTCGCTACCAGAGTCGGAAACATGATGGTCATTGGTAAAGGAAAGAGACCAGCCATTACCTTATTCAAAGACAAGGGTATGAAGAGAGGAATCATCGATGAGAAGAAGATCAAGGGACAATTCATGACCTTCCAAAACTTGTAATGCTCTAAAACATTGGAAAACAACTTGGCCAATCCCTCTATATTAATCAATATAGACAGCAAACTCAGGGGTTTTGGGGTTTTGGGGTTTTGGGGTTTTGGGGTTTTGGGGTTTTGGGG